CCAAACATTGGTTAAAAAGTGCTTGTGCATGACTATAGTGCATAACCTCATTATCCTATACAGTCAGTGTGAATAATTAAAGTGCGACTAGGTTAATCATTAAAGTGAAACAGTGCTTATAATCAAAACTTACATCGTCAACTATAGACAATGTCACCATTATGATGGAGTATGGATAGAGGGAGAAACCCTCTATACCATTAGTGATAAGCCCTACATTAGAAAAAAATATGCTACATAGAAATACCAAAAACAACCTGAAATGGAAGCACCAATTGCTAAATGACCCAAAGCATGAAAAGTTTTTAACATTACATATACATAAAACTATAAAACATATTTAAAAAGTAGAGGAATCGGAATGATGATAACGGAGGCTGACATTGAATAGGCAGGGCCACATTATATTAATAGGGTGACAGATGGAATATAATGTGGCCCTGCCTATTCAATGTCAGCCTCCGTTATCATCATTCCGATTCCTCTACTTTTTAAATATGTTTTATAGTTTTATGTATATGTAATGTTAAAAACTTTTCATGCTTTGGGTCATTTAGCAATTGGTGCTTCCATTTCAGGTTGTTTTTGGTATTTCTATGTAGCATATTTTTTTCTAATGTAGGGCTTATCACTAATGGTATAGAGGGTTTCTCCCTCTATCCATACTCCATCATAATGGTGACATTGTCTATAGTTGACGATGTAAGTTTTGATTATAAGTACTGTTTCACTTTAATGATTAACCTAGTCGCACTTTAATTATTCACACTGACTGTATAGGATAATGAGGTTATGCACTATAGTCATGCACAAGCACTTTTTAACCAATGTTTGGAGAGATGATTACTTTGATCATCTGTTTGTTACACTAAACAGGATACACTTTTGAAGATATCTATACATGATCTTAATTATGATAGTATATATGTACATAAATTGGCTGCGGATTTCGTTAATTCCACATTTACCATACCAGGACTAAGATTTCTATGACATGTTTCACTTTATCACAGATCTTTTCACTATTAGTATTTTTCTGGATGGGGGATCCCTGATAATATAGCTTATGCACCAGTATTAAGGTAATTAGAATTATTTATCTTTGGTATTATTATGTCTTTTATGATATTGCAGATGATAGATTTGCAGGTTTATACTTTTCCCTCCTCTTTCTTTGATGCTAGTGCTTATAGAGGCTATATTTGATATGTCTATTAAGGTGAAGGACAAATATAGTGATCGGCGTATCTCTAAAACGGATGCGCATGTGTTTGGCGTTACCATGACTACAGGTAACGCGGCCATTCAGGAAGTAACTGAAGGGAGTTCCGTTAGACGCAGTTGGCGTCTCGATCCCTATGGCAACGACACATGCGTAATGACGTTACGCACATCACATGATCTTGTACGCGGAAGTGGGAAATTGCCGGGCGCGAACTCTGTTTGGGCGGACGCTTATGAGGAAGGGAGTTTACCTTATCAATACACCTGAAATGTGAGTACTAATTGGACCTAAGTTCTTATTTAAGCTAAATCTGTTTCATTGATATTTTGTATGCTGTCCTGATGAAAGCTCCCAAGAGGAGCTGAAACGTCGATATATGGAGTAAAGTATTTTTTACTTATTCAAAAATCCTGAGAGTGCTGATTTTTCATTGGTCTTGTATTTATTGTGCAATCTAGCACCAGGTCCTAAGTTTATTTTGGTAGGAGTGCAAGGCTTCTTTTTGTTTTATATCACTATATATATATATATATATATATATATACCTATATATAAATAAAAATATTTAAAAAAATTTATATAGATATATACATATATATATATATATATATATATATATATATATATATACATATATATATATTAATTCTACATATATATTTATGTAATATTTTTACATAATTAGGTATCTTAATTAATTACAATTAGCGAGACCTGCCTGACAACCCATGCCGAAAGTAAAGGGAATTTAATTTGCTAGCACTATATTTAACCCTATAACTTTCCAAGACACCATAAAACCTGTACATGGGGGGTACTGTTCTACTCGATAGACTTCGCTGAATACAAATATTAGTGTTTCAAAACAATAAAATGTATTACAACGATGATATCGCCAGTAAAATTGACGTTTTTTGCATTTTTCACGCACAAACAGCATTACACGGACAATATTATTGCTGTGATACTTTTTACTGTTTTGAAACACAAATATTTGTGTTCAGCGAAGTCTCCCGAGTACAACAGTACCCCTCATGTACAGGTTTTATGGTGTTTTCAAAACTTACAGCGTCAAATATAAGGCTTGCGTTTCATTTTTTTCACATTAAAATTCGCCAGATTGGTTACATTGCCTTTGAGACCCTATGGTAGCCCAAGAATGAAAATTACCCCTATGATGGCATACCATTTGCAATAGTAGACAACCCAAGGTATTGCAAACGGGGTATGTCCAGTCTTTTTTAGTAGCCACTTAGTCACAAACACTGGCCAAAATTGGCGGTTTTTGCATTTTTCACACAAACAAATACTAACGCTAACTTTGGCCAGTGTTTGTGACCAAATGGCTACTAAAAAAGACTGGACATACCCCATTTGCAATACCTTGGGTTGTCTACTATTGCAAATGGTATGCCATTATGGGTGTAAATTTCATTCCCGGCTACTATACAGTCTCAAAGGCAACGTAACCAATCTGGCGAATTTCAATTTCAAATGTAACGTGCTATATTTGACCCTGTAACTTCCCAAAACAACATAAAACCTGTACATAGGGGGTACTGTCTTACACGTGAGACTTTACTGAATACAAATATGTGTATTTTATTGCAGTAAAAGCAAACAGTATTATGACACTGACCGTTAAAATGTCATGTAGAACTAAAAAAAAAAGAACGTAACCAATCTGGCGAATTTCAATTTCAAATGTAACGTGCTATATTTGACCCTGTAACTTCCCAAAACGCCATAAAAGCTGTACATAGGGGGTACTGTTTTACACGTGAGACTTTGCTGAATACAAATGCAAATGGTGTATGTCCAGTCTTTTTTAGTAGCCATTTGGACACAAACACTGGCCAAAGTTAGCGTTAGTATTTGTTTGTGAGTGAAAAACGCAAAAAACGCCAATTTTGGCCAGTGTTTGTGACTAAGTGGCTACTAAAAAAGACTGGACATACCCCGTTTGCAATACCTTGGGTTGTCTTCTTTTGCAAATGGTATGCCATCATAGGGGTAATTTTCATTCTTGGGCTACCATAGGCAGGGCCGGTGCAAGGATTCTTGCCGCCCTAGGCAACAATACATTTTGACGCCCCCCTCATGAATGCAACTGCATTCCCTCAGAGATTTATTCACTAAACTCTGAATTACACTAAAGAGACATTTAGAGAAAGAGGCGCACTGAGTAGATATTAAAGGGAAACTATAGTGTCAGGAAAACAAACTTGTTATCCTGGCACTATAGCTTCCCCCTCCATCAAGCACCCCCCCCTTGTGGTGCAGCAGGGGTTAAAACTCCTTCTGTCACTTACCTGGGTCCAGCACCAATGTCTTTTGTGCTGGCTTCGGTCGGCCTTTGCTCCTCAAGGGCCGCGCTCGCAGTGGTATTTCCGTGATCCTAGGTTTTGCGCGACGCTGGACGTCCCCATGCATAGCCACTAGAGGAGTTAACCCTGAACAGTAATTATTGAAGTTTCTTAAAAATTGCAATAATTACCTTTGCAGTGTCATTTACACAATCTCACTAATACACACACTCTCTCACTGGCATACACACCTACACATTCTAACTCTAACTTACACACTCTAACACATACACATTCTCACTGACCTACACATTGTCAATTGCACACTCTCACTAATACACACAATCTCACTGGCATACACATTGTCAGCTACACATTCTAACACCACACAGTGGCACTTACAAATACTCACTAACAGTGTCACTTGCACACTCTCCCTAACACACATGCCCAGAGTCACTTGCACACTCTCACTAACACACACACCCAGAGTCACTTGCACACTCTCACTAACACACACACCCAGAGTCACTTGCACACTCTCACTCACACACATTGTCACTTACACACTCATTAACACACACACTATCACTCAAACACAAACTCACACCACTTTACATAAAGTCACACTTTATTTACAAACACCAACACATTAATTTAACACACTCCCCATTTACAAACATGCACACAATAAGCAATCCCCCTTAACCATGCCATACCTGGGTGCTGTGAAGAGGCCCAGGCAGCAGGATCCAGGATGTTGCTCTTCTTTCTCCTGGGGGAGCAGGAGAGCCCTGCACTGTGGGCGCAGGCTACTTCCTGCTCCCTTCACAGTGCTTCCGGTGTTCACAGGCAGGGAGCAGCCAGGATACCCGGTCATATCCCAGCTTCCCCTGCCTGCAGGAAGCAAACAGTCCTCTGCAGTAAACCCCACTGCCCGAGCAGGTAATTTACAGCAGAGAGGATCCTAGCAGGTGAGTCGCTGCGCTGGGGGGTGGTTTAAGGAGCCTCTCGCCCAGCACAGCATCCCCAGACAGCTATAGCAGGCAGCCCGCTGGGAAACCTCTTGGTGGGTGCCCCCCAGAGGCCGGCGCCCCAGGCGAATGCCTTACTCGCCTTAATGGTAGCGCCGGCCCTGACCATAGGGTCTCAAAGGCAACCTAACCAATCTGGCAAATTTTAATGTGAAAAAAATGAAACACAAGCCTTATATTTGACGCTGTAACTTTTGAAAACACCATAAAACCTGTACATGAGGGGTACTGTTGTACTCGGGAGACTTCGCTGAACACAAATATTTGTAAACAGTAAAAAGTATCGCAACAATCATATCGTCCGTGTAAGTGCTGTTTGTGCGTGAAAAATGCATAAAACTTCACTTTTACTGGTGATCTCATCGTTGTAATACATTTTACTGTTTTGAAACACTAATATTTGTGTTCAGCGAAGTCTCCCGAGTAGAACAGTAC